GGGGGTCCCCTTTCCATATGTAGGAAGGCTGTTCCGAAAGGCAACAGGAGACATGCTAACATGAGCCCTGGAACAAAATCAACAAAAGGAAATCTTACATTAAAAACTCCCTGTATGTAGACATCCTAAGCCTATCCTGAGGACATTATTTACCCCTGTTTCATCCTTATCTGCTAATTTTCCATATATACCTGTAGTTGCCAAGTTTGAAAAAGAAGCAGTTGCCAAGTTTTGATGTGACACTCATCTATCTCGAGTGGTTGAATTCCCTCTTTCTTAACATGTAAATTGGCTCTAACACAATGCCATCTGCTGTCTTCATACCTCACTGAGTCGCTGGATTGTAATCTGGAGAAGTCTGAGTGGCTCCCTGAATTGGTGAGTCAATTGCTGACAGCAGCAAAATCAAGCCCCAACCCAAGTTTGGGGATCAGGCGGATTTAAAGTCTGTCTCGACGGCTTTCCAAATCGGTGGCACGTGGGACTAATGAGCAGAAGCCATGAGCTTTCTCCTTGGCTTAAGATGAACGCCTTTCCCAAGAAAAACAGAGACAGGTGATTCATGTGTTACCATTGGTCATTCCAGCTGGGATGATGGTGATGGCGATGGATTGGTTTATTATTACATTTATTATGTAGACTCTGGGCGGCTTACAAAATCCAAACACAGAATTAAAATTATTAAAACAGGTGCCTGGGCAAGAGAACAGAACAGACTAAGATCCAGAACGACAGGCAATGAGATACCCGGCGAATGCCTGTGCAGCGGGAATGAGCCTGGTTACCTGAAAAAAGGGGGTAGAGGAATTGAATTTGCTGGAGTAATTTAAAAAAACAAAATAAGGGGAAAAATAAGTGGGTAAATAAACAGCCCTTCAAGAAAATCTTAACGTGTGAATGAACCTTTGGCGGAAAAAACAGTAGAAAAGTGTAGAGGAAAATAAGGGGAGGAAGCTGTGCTGGATACGTTTGCCACCGTAAGTTATTTGTAAAAATAATAAAGGTGGGATACAGATGGATAAATAATGAGCCATATGGGTGAAAAGGATTAGGCTGGGAAAAGCTGTATCAGGCCAAGCAGTCACATTATTCTACTTTGGCCCAAAGGCAGATTGAAATTAATCTTTGTCACCTATTTTATAACAAGCGGCTCGAACTGTTCTGTGCATTTATAGTTTCAAGTAGGGTGAAAATGTAGCATGGCCTATTGCTGACTACTAGAAGAAACTTTCCATTATGACATAGTGTTTTGGGATAGTCTGTCTGGTCAGTTTGGCTTTTTCACGAATCTTAAGAGCTTCTGCCAGGTATATGAAGTCATGGACTGGTAAGCTCTTCTGTAAAAATGAAGCAAATTCTCGCCAGGCTCCTTGTAGAGCTGACAGGATCATCATTTCATCTTTGCTTGTCGTGACACTGTTGTAAAGCAGTACCTTAGAGAAGCAACAGACCCAAGATGCCAACTGTCAACACGGCAAAGATGGCTCAGTGCACAGATGGACTAAGACAGGAGTCTCCAACCTTGGCAACTTTAAGCCTGGAGGACTTCAACTCCCAGAATTCCCCAGCCAGCAAAGCTGGGAGTTGAAGTCCTCCAGGCTTAAAGTTGCCAAGGTTTTGAGATCCCTGGACTAAGATGTAGATTTGGAGGATCCAAGTGTTCACAACTCTTCTGCTCAAACGCACAAATATATCGCTTTGGTTTTCTCCTGGTTCAAAAATCGTTTTAATCCCCTCTTCCTGTTTATGAGGAAGTTTGTGAACTTTGCAAAGTTGTTTTAAAAAAAGGAACAAAAGTCACCCTCTTCCCTTTGTATACCACAGACAAAAGATGGATTATCTTCAGTGAGATAAAGGATCAGACAAATGTAATGGAGGTTAAAGGCTATCAGTTTGTCCTCATTAGACTTTGCAGATTTATCCGCAGCATCACAAGAGACATATATATATCACTTCAGACCAGTAAATTGAAGAACATGAGTGTTGAAGAACATGAGGTGATCACGATGACCAGACTGGTAGACAAATACAATTAGAGATTCAACACAACTCTTCCAATAGTAATTTGCAGGAATAATTAAAAGGAGAAGTTTGCCATCTAGCGTTCATAGAAATTATAATTTATTTGGTGGTGCTCTGGAAGAGCAGCAGTAAAATCTGACCACGACGTATTTAGATTTATCAGTAGAAATATATTAGGTATCAAACGTTCGGTTTTATATTTTCGGATTATACTTGAGTTATTTTAAATTATTTAGTTCTGGTCTTGGACTATAATAAAGAAAGATGGTGATGATTGATGTTTGACAATGGATAGATTGACATATGTTGTAATCAGGAGGTTGTGAGTTCAATCCTAGGTAGAGGCAGATGTAGGATCTCCTGCTTGGGCAAGGGGTTGGACTGGATGACCTGCAAGGTTTCTTCCAACTCTGTTAATCTGTAAACTGTTAGGATTTTTAACCTATTTATTGAAGGCCAGATGTATCTAAGGAACATCATTTTAGAGAACTTTGACATATTAAAGATGTTTACAATTGCATAAGGTGCGTGAAGCTCAGGGAATAAGAAACTGATTTATCTAAGGTGCCCCAGATATTTTGTTGGAGTCAGCAAAGAGCTGTACAACAGACAAGACAAAGCAAACTGTAGATTTTTAATTCTGGATTTTTAATATTCATGTGTATGAGTTGGGCACAGTGGTGAAATGTACAATTTGTTACTACCAGTTCTGTGGGCATGGCTTGGTGGGGAGGGGGGTAATGTGACTGGGTGGGCATAGCCAACTTTTTTTTTTTTTACTTTTAAGAGGTTGCAGAAAAAAAATGCTTTTAAAACCCTCTGACGATCAGGCAACTCAGCTGGGATCGTCAGAGGCTTTTAAAGCCATCTTTTTTTCTACAACCTCTTCGGCCAAAGAGGTTGCAGAAAAAAATGCTTTTAAAAGCCTCTGACGATCCCAGCTGAGCCGTGCGATCATCAGAGACTTTTTTTTTTTACTTTTAAAAGCATTTTTTCGGCCAAAGAGGTTGTAGAAAAAATGCTTTTAAAAGTAAAAAAACAGCCTCTGATAATCACGCGGCTCAGCTGGGCATGGGGGGGGCAGGGATTTTTGGTACCGGTTCTCTGAAACACCCGTTGCCATCGCTACCGGATCAGGCGATCCGGTCCGAACCGGGAGCATTTCACCCCTGGTTGGGCAGTTGTGAAGGAAAGGGGAAGGGGAGAATCAGTAGCCAGAGGGAAGGTCTGTTACAGTAGCAATACGTGTACTATTGGATGATCTATAGCTGTGCTGGCGAACCTATGGCACATGTGCCAGAGGTGGCATGCAGAGCCCTTTCTGCTGGCACGCATGCCATGGCCCAGGTCAGATCTCTGTGGCGTTTCTTTCGTGAGCTTCTGTTTCCCTGCAAACGACGAAACAGAAGCTCACGAAAGAAAAAGATCTTACCTCTTGCCGTGCTGCCGGTGTTGGGATGCCCCGCCTCCCGCCAGCCAGCTGATTTTCGGGTCTCTGCTGCGCATGAGTGCATGTCTGTGCACGTCCGCACATGCACGTGTCTGTGCATGAGCGTGTTTGAGTGCACATACCTTTCCGTTTGGGCATGCATGCGTGCAGTTTGGGCACTCGGCATCTAAAAGGTTTGCCATCATGGATCTATAGGATCAATTTAGGACTGATCATTATGGGGAAAAATCTAAGTGGTTGCTAAGAGTTGTCACCAACTTTATGGCACATAATCGTGTGTGTGTTTAGTTTACACATTGCATTGACCTAAACTTTGTTTTGTTGATGATGTTACCTAGTTTGGCAATGAAATGTCTGCGAGAAAACAACCAAGCTCAAGGATCCCCCCCAAGGACCCCACCATTTTTATCTGCTTCTTGGCCTAATGGATTGTTTCAGAGACCAAGACCAGCTGCTTACAATGCTCTGAGACCCACCGTTAGAAGCTATTCAAAAGCATGGAAATTTTGGAGACCGAAACATTGGGAGATGAGACCCAAACTTAATACTGTGTTTCCCCGAAAATAAGATCCTGTCTTATATTTTTCTGAACCCCGAAATAAGTGCTTGGCCTTATTTTCTGGGATGTCTTATTACTTTGGGGCACGAGGAGCAAGACGGGGCTCCTCTTGCCGCCTTACCTGATTTCCATCTCTGTCTCCCTAACCCTAACCAGAGGAAAGGGCGGGGACCGACTGCACCTGCGTTTAAATATTTTCAGGGAAGGCTTATTTTTGGGGGGGGCGCTTATTTTAGCACATGCACTCAAAAGCCCGATTGGACTTATTATCAGGGGATGTCTTATTTTAGGGGAAACATAGTACTTGGTCCCACCGCTGTTCCCTTGCCAATCCAAATAAACTTTAGCCTGAAAACAATTCCTATCCCCAGTATTTGTACATGATTCCCATGTGCTTTGACAGAATCCAGAGCAAGAACGTTAGAAAAAGGGGCGGTGTGGGGATAGGGTTGCCAGGTGTCCACTATTTGAGCGGACAGTCCACTTTTTTCACATTATGTTCACTATTTTTTTTCACAAAATAGTGGATATTTTTTTTACTCAAAAGCTTTATGATGAAATGGTACGTAATCTAAAGCTGTACAGTCTAAGAGAATAAGGATAGGAGAATCGCGTTTTGTCTTTTTTTTCATAAGTTAGAATGAGACAAAGATTGAATATCCATTGAACTCAATTCTCCGAAAAAATTAATGATGAGATTAAAATAAAAATATATTATAAAATTACGTACAGTTCACATTTTTAAAATGTATTGTAGCTTGTGTCAACTGACCTAAAATGGCGGGTAAAAATGTTTGTAAGAAAATATATAATTTAATTGTAATTTTTTGTTTTTTTTTACTACTTGAACCCCCACCCCACCCCCCGCTTGTCCGCTATTTTTTGGAAGCAGACCTGGCAACCCTATGTGGGGAGGTGGGGGGGGGGAGAAGAGAAAGAGAGAGAGAGAGAGAGACTCACCCCAGGCCATTAAAAATTAAAACATTCATTTATTAGAATATTTATGTAAAAAGACTCTCTTTACACAATATTTTATACAATAGATTCATTGCTTTAAACGGCTCCTAGCGGAGACAGTATTGTACATGAAAGCACATAGAGGCTACTGAAGGCCACTGGTTCCCGCTTGGCCTGAAGCAGAGAACAAGAGGCAAAGCCCAGCTTAAGTTGAGAATACAGAACTGTGAAAAAGCAAGCTGGCTGAGCTCCCTTTTTGCCCGCCCCCACCCGTGCTGTGCAAAGGTCTTCCAGCCCAGAGGAAGGGGTGAGTTGCACCAAAGGGTGATGGGCGGGGAGGGAGAGAGAGAGAGACGGGAGCTCATCGCTGTTTGGATGGAAGGGTGCACGGGAGTGCCAGGAGCCCTCCCAGAGGGGCCCGGATGGTGGCCAGACAAACAGGCAAAAATTGCACAACACCATTTTCCACAGGCAGACACTGTATGGCTAAAAAGGCACAGCACAGGGGCAGAGGGAGGAAACGCCCCCTTCATGGTAGGGGGTGGGGGTGGGTGGGGTGTAGGGTAGGCCGGAGGAGGAAGGGACGGCTATGTACTACTGAAAAAAAATCAGCAGGCACTAGCATGGCTCTGTAACAGAGTACGATCCTTGAAAAAAGCTTTCGATCAGACTCAAGAATAAACCAGAGTTGGTATCTACCGTGGAGAGCGGATACCAAAGACGCACTGTCTTCTTATACGTCCCCTCCCTCACCAGAAGTTTCAATGTACACACTCTTCACAAAAACAAACCAGCAGGCGACTTGTCTCGCTTTGGGATAACTGGACAGAGAGATAAAAGCAGGGCAGGACGAGAGCCCTATACCGGAGAGGATTGGGGCCCTGCTCCCTTTGTGAAGAGCTGTGCTACACCTCCCTATCCAGAGATAGCAACAGCAATAGCGCTTAAGACATATATACCGCTTTACAGCCCCCTATAAGCGGTTTACAAAGTCAGCCTATCGCCCTCAACAATCCAGGTCCTCATTGACCCACCTCGGAAGGATGGAAGGCTGAGTCAACCTTGAGCCTGGTGGGGTTTGAACTGCCAAATTGCAGGCAGCCGGCAGAAGTAGCCTGCAGTACTGCACTCTAACCACTGCGCCACCGCGGCTCATATAGTAGAAACTGCAATACTCCCCAATCCTAGAGGCCTTCAGATGTTTTGGACCACCCCTCTTGTCTGTATTTTGTCACAGAGAGCATGAGCCGAGGCTGAGAGGTGTTGGACCCAAACATCTGGTGAGCATCATGTTGGAGAAAGCAGAAATAGACGTTACAATCTGCCTCTTTCTTGGACTTTCCTACTCTCTACTTCTGGTCTAAACAACAGGGACTATGTAAAACCCTGAACAAGGAAGGTTATCTTTGGCTAAGGGCCACCACAAAGAAGTGGCAGGTTATAGTCAAGGTCATTGTGGACCATAATCAAGTTGGTTGATTCTGGAAAGGGGCATTATTCAATGCTTTTCCATACAATTAAAACGCCTTGCATGTCATTGGAAGAAAGCAAGGCCAGAAGAACCTCCTTCCCCAACCTAGGGGTTTTCTACATGCAGAACTTTTATTCTCTATGCAGGGAAGCGTTCTATCGTGTCCCCTCCCCCCTGCGATCTGAAAAAGTGGTAGGGTCCGGACTGATTACAGCCTCATTCAAACTGTACGTTTTAGACCAGAGGTCTTCAAACTTGGCAGCTTTAAGACTTGTGGACTTCAACTCCCAGAATTCTCCAGCCAGCTGGCTGGAGAATTCTGGGAATTGGAGTCCACATGTCTTAAAGCTGCCAAGTTTGAAGACCTCTGGTCTAAAACGTACAATTTGAGGACCCCTGTTCCTCAAGTTTGGGGACCCCTGTTTTAGACTAAAACAAAACAGGAACGAAGCAGGAACCAGCATTCGTCTCCTCCATCCTCCTCCTCATTGCAAAGGATTCAAAAGAAGCTGCTTGCTCTGCAGGCCGCTCCATCCGTTTGTAGCAGCCCAGACCCTGATATAAAAACCCGATTCCTGCCATTTCCAGGAATGTGAGCCTTGCTATTACATACAATGTATTTATCCCTGACTCTGGAATAACCATGGCACAATTCAAATGTGATTTGGGAGGAACGGAGAGAGAAGACTGAGGTTGAAGTCTCAGAAACCCAGATGGAGACAGAAATTATAAGGAAAGAGTCTGGACAGCCATTTGTCTAAAATGGTGTAGAGTCTCCTGCTTGAGCAAACGGGTTGGACTAGAAGACCTCCAAGGTCCCCTCCAGCTCTATTCTGATTAGATCTCGATTTATGACAGATTATCTTTTATTGATTAGAAGGCCACCTTCTAGAAAGAAGATGCCCATTATGGAATTAAAATGAATGAATTTTGGAGAATGAAGATTGGATGGAGAGCAGAATAAACCCAAGTAGCACCGAGGACCAGAAAAGAAAAGGATGGGGAAGAAAAGACAGAATTATTCTGACTGAGATTGATATTGATAAAAGGAGAGAAGGCTAGGTAGCATCTCGTCTTCTCTATGCCTGATATTGCTAGACGGCAAGGCCGAAACCAGTCACCTAATGTTGTTTCACACTCTCAACTTACAAGCAGGGAAAAATTGAAGCTTTTCAGGCAAAAAAAAGAAAGAGAGGGAACCTGTGTCATAAGCATACTATCACTGTCCCCAGATATATGGTAGTAGAATAGTTCTTCACTGGCATCCTAGTGTCTTTCACGGAATTTAGAATCTCTTCAAGAAATGATTACCCTATTGTTAAAAACTAAATAAAATAAAATAAAATAAAATAAAGCAATCTTATATGTACAACCACATATTCATCTTTGGTCAAAACATGCCTTTGGAGTTGTACGTGGGCTGTGTGAACACATGTTTTTACTGAAATCTCCCAGCTTCAGGCAAGGACAATGAGGAGTGAGCCAGCCAAGAGAAAGACACATATAGGAGGGATCTTCATCCTGGCGCCCTCCAGATGTGCTGGACTGCAATGCTATACAATTCCCTGTGAGAAGAGTGGCCCAATCCATTTGCAGAACCTTTGTCAGCTTCTCGTTTGGATGGCCAGTTACCCAATCAGCTAAGCAGAGAGCTGGGCATCCCGTGCCCATGCCTCCTTAGCCGTAGATTCAAAATTGGTACAAGAGCAATCTTTGGTTACGGTTAACCTGCTCATTTGTATCAAATAAAAGATTGGGGGTGGGGGGAAATACCATTACAAGCATAAAATAAGGCAAAACCCGTGATCCTAGATTTGGAACGCCAACAATTTTGAACAATTATCTATGGCAGGGGTCTCCAAACTTGGCAACTTTAAGACTTGTGGACTTCAATTCCCAGCTTTGCTGGCTGAGGAATTCTGGGAATTGAAGTCCACAAGGCTTAAAGTTGCCAAGTTTGGAGACCCCTGATCTATGGCTTATGGGATTTAAATAGAAGCCCACCAAAAATAAACTCATAAACTCTTACTGCTTAGAAGAAAAGATAAAGAGGAAACATGGCCTTACAGTTGAGGATGGAAACTACCCTGTTTCCCCCAAAATAAGACATCCCCTGATAATAAGCCCAATCATGATTTTGAGTACATGGCAATAAGGCCAAGCACTTATTTCAGGGTTCAAAAAAATATAAGACAGGGTCTTATTTTCGGGGTCAACCAGTGGCTCAGATTTAAAAAAAATAAAAATAAAGAAAATCTTAGAAACCTGTGCCTATGATCATCCAATACCTACGCAGGACATCCCTGCAGCACCATCTGATATATCTGAGCACACCCAAAGGTCCTCAGTTCTTCTGATGTGTTTCAAAACTGGGAGGAGGGAATTATAGTACAGGTGTTTCTCTGAAGGAAATGAGAATGTGCAGTTGCCAGTGGAGAAAAGGCAACGATGAGTCAGAGCATGCTACTATCCAGGAGGAGATAATCTCCGGATAGAATGATTGGCGTTCCCAACTTTGGATATGGAATCTGGGTTGATTCTAGTTCTATTGCCTCCGGTCACAAAATATGTTCCATTTAGATGCTCTCTGCTGCCTTCTAAGCAAAGCTCCCGCACTGAAGAGAAAGAAACAGAGAAGAGAAAGACACAAAGAAATAGAGATTGGCATAACTGGGCGTGTGTAATTTGCACAGGAGTGCAAAAGCCTCCCCTACAGGTTAGGTCTAAGTAGTGCATATCGGGGCTCACTGCCCTTTGGGGATAAAGGGCTCCCCCTCTTCAGGATCTGGCCGAGGCCCTGGATCACTCAGGCATCTCATCATCCGTTGGTTGCTCGGACTGTCGCCTGTCCCAGGAGTGAAGACGTCATCTGTGCCTGGAGAAGATGGCTCTTTGACCTTCATGATCAGCCCCTCCTCATCTTCATCTTCCTCTGGGGAGGGCGGAAGGTGATTTATCCCTTTCAGGGTCTCGTTCACCAAGTCAACCGACTCCGGCGACTGGGGGGACGCTGGGTCAATGGTTATGATGGGGACATTCTCAGAATCCGGCTTCGGGTCATAAGCAAGAGGGTCTACAGAAGAAGGCAAAGAGAAGCGGAGTTGAAGGAAAAAGCCACTCAAGTAGCAGAATCAATTTTCTCTGCTCCAATCATCATCTTCATTTAACGACCCCATAAATCCCTTGTAGGGTGGAGTCTGGGCAATTGAATGGAGCTAGCAGAGTGTTTTAATGGCTGGATGCCCTTCCTGTCGCCAATGTGGAGTTTTGTTCAGCAGATATATTTTCAGTGTGCCCAGAAAGAGAAATATCTACCTCTACCAAGGATCGAACTCACAGCCTCCTGATGGTGAGGCGAGAGCGCCACCTCTAGGCCACCGCACCACTCCTCTATTTTCTCTGCTCCAATCTATCAGGAAAATCATTTTCCTAATTATAAGGGCATATTAACCACCGTGAGGCACAAGAAATCAGAACAATGGTGAGCTGATCAGAAAGTTTCTTTACTGCTGCTTGCTTATTTAGAAGAATCTCCCCTGTCTTAACTCCACTTTCTTGGGAATAACCACATATTAGGGATTTTTTTTTGGGGGGGGGGAGGAGAGATCCATCACTTCCTTCCACACAGGGACACCCAGCTCATCAGTCTCATAAACCCCACCCCCCTCTCTAGATGGAGATTCCATCACACCTACCCCCAGTTTCCAAATGTTGTTGAACTACAACTCTCACCATTACCTATCCTGGAAGATGGAGATACATCAGTTCCAGTGGTGGGTTGCTCCCGGTTATGTCCAGTTCTTGTGAACCGGTAGTAAAAGCGGTGGGAGGCTCCGCCCACCCGCCTGGACGTCATAAGGTACGATCTGCACATGCGCAGAAGTTGCGAGCGTGCGCGCGCACTCCCGTTGCAAACCGGTAGTAAAGGTAAGTAGAACCCACCCCTGATAAGTTCCCTATTGTTTACATTAAAGTAAACCAGTGAGACATGAAAAAATGAGGAAGAGGTGTTGGGTCCAAAGTCTGCCCCTTAATCTTTCCACTTACCTGAACCAATGCGTGCCCTTGACATGGTTGGTGAATCTATTTTATGTGTTGGCACCGTCAGGTAGTTGTTCATCTGGAATCAGAAACACATAGGTATGCATTTAAAAAAAACTCCCACTTTCAGGAGGTCCAGCCCAGTTCAGATTTCTGGAGCATCCTTTATCTGCAGTAGCTTCAATTTAGAAGAGGCAAGAGCCCCAGACAGAGGGAGTAGTTTGAAAAATGTGCGTGTGTGTGTCTCAGTGTATGTATGTATGTGTGGGTTTGTTTATGTGTGCTTTTGTGTTTCTGTGTATATAAATGAGCTTATTATGAACGACGTGATTTGATCATCACTTTTGAAAAATTTAGCTCATCAACAAAGATGGATCTTGAAGTAGCCTCAAGAGTTGCCAGTCACTGAAGACCCTTTCCAGAGAGTCTAGAACAGGGGTGTCAAACTCAAGGCCCGTGGGCTGAATTTGGCCCACGGGGATGCGTATTTCTGACCAGCGGAGCCACCCTGGAAACAGCAAGAGACCAGCCCACGGTGGCTGTGCCAGTGAAAACAGAGCTCCGTTTTCGCTGGCAGAAGGTTGCAGGAGGCAGTCGCAGCTGGAGACGGAGCTCAGGAGCCCATTTTCGCTGGCACAGCGCTCGGGCTGCCACAGACGCCCCCCCGACACGAGTGACTTCAAGCCACGCCCACCCTGGCCACGCCCACCCTGGCACCCTGAGGTCAAACACAACCCTCAATGAAATTGAGTTTGACCCCCCCCCTGGTTCTAGAACCTCACATGGTCCCTTCTCCCACCCTCCCCAGATTCCACCTTCCCGCCCCTTCACCTTCTGTTCCAGCTGCCGAGCCTTCTGTCTTCTCAGCAACATCTGGTTCCAGGCTTCTTCATAAGGATCTGCTACCAAGGTGTGTCGATTATATGACCGCAACTGGAATGGAAAGCAGAAGAGGTTAGTTAGACTGGGAGGCAGATGCTCACCTCCTGTTTAAAAAGTATGGCTTTTACAACAAATCTCTACGAAAATCAGCACAATTGACTCCAGGATGTTATTCAAAGAATTAAAAAGCAGGGCAACATACAGCCTTTCAAAACTTTTATGTATTCCTTTTATTTTATTTATTTGTCAAATACATATAAGATAAGAGATATAAGTATAAACATGATTATGAATACAGGATAAGGATACAAATAAATGGGGACAATAAGACAGGGACGGAAGGCACACTGGTGCTCTTATGCGCGCCCCTTACAGACCTCTTAGGAATGGGGTGAGGTCAACAGTAGACAGTCTAAGGTTAAAGTTTTGGGGCTTTGGGGATGAAACCACAGAGTCAGGTAGTGCATTCCAGGCATTGACCCCTCTGTTGCTGAAGTCGTATTTTCTGCAATCGAGTTTGAAGCGGTTTACCTTGAGTTTGTATCTGTTGTGTGCTGGTGTATTGTTGCGGTTGAAGCTGAAGTAGCCATTGACAGGTAGGATGTTGTAGCAGATAATTTTATGTACTATGCTTAGATCAGACTGAAGGTGGCGTAGTTCTAAGTTATCTAATTCCAACATTTCGAGCCTGGTGGCATAAGGTATTCTGTTGCGAGCAGAGGAGTGGAGGACTCTTCTCGTGAAATATCTCTGGACTCGCTCAATTGTATTAATGTCTGATATGCAGTGCGGGATCCAGACAGATGAGCTGTATTCGAGAATTGGTTTAGCAAATGTTTTGTATGCTCTAGTTAGCAGTACAATATTACCAGAGAAGAAGCTATGCAAGTTTAGGTTAACAACTCTTAATGCCTTTTTGGCAATGTTGTTGCAGTGAGCTCTGGCACTTAGATCATTTGAGATGAGTATTCTATCAAGGAGTCCGCAGCTATCAGTAATGACAAGAAATGAATCCATTGACATTTGGCGGGCTGCTGGTTGCCTATTGTGTGTGGTAATAACCATTGCTCGAAGCACATCTGCCAATCCTTTCTATCCACTACCCCAAAGTCCATCCTCATTATCTCTTTCTTAGCCCATTGACTAACAGGAAGTTAACAGTGATCTCTCTGCATTGCTGAACTACGTTTCTGCTGGAGTGGAAGACTGAAAGGGGGAACAAGAAAGCACAGGGAGAGAGAATCTTCTGCAATTTTTTTTTTTTTTAAATATTGGCTGGAAAAAGGTCCTTGCGCTTACCCTCTGCCTGGTTTTTTGCAAGTTGTTGCGCAGGATCTTTCGAATCTCTTCCTCTTTGTCCTTGGACAGAGCTGGCAAAATGCGTTCTATCGGCAATGTTTTTGGATTGATATTCCTGCAAGATGAAAAGGAGTTGATTCCTGCCTTGGGGAAGTGCAAGTGGGAAAGGCTCTCTAAGTAGGACCTCCAGATTCTTTGGACAGAACGATTAAGAATGTCTCTTTCCCCCTTACAGATAGTTCTCACTTAGCGTCCGCTTTTGGGATTATCACCCAAGCACTTCAGTTGATAAATGGAAAACTGGAAAACTGTGTGACCGCAACAGGCTTATGACCTCATGCCCTGTTCTGTCATTCAGCAAAACATCATGTGTGGACACAACTTACTATTTTACTTCCCCCTTCTCTATTAACTCTGCTTGTTGCAAGCCAGTTGTGAATCAGGGGAATAGTTATCACACGACTTTTGGATGCTGCAATGATCGAAAATGGAGGATTGGTCCCAAAGCTTTGTCTTATATCATTGTGACTTTGAATCAATAGAGTAGAGTAGATTAGAGTAGACTAGACTAGAGTAGAGTAGAAGAAGAGTAGAATAGAAGAATAGAGTAGAGTAGAGTAGAGTAGAGTAGAGTAGAGTAGAGTAGAGTAGAAGAAGAGTAGAATAGAAGAATAGAATAGAGTAGAGTATAGAGTAGAGTAGAGCAGAATAGAAGAAGAGTAGAGTAGAAGAGTAGGCTAGAGTAAGTAGTGTAGAAGAAAAGTACAGTAGAAGAATAGAATAAAGTAGAGTAGAAGAAAAGTAGAGGAGGGTAGAATAGAGTAGACTACAGTAGAAGAATAGAATAGAGTAGAAGAGTAGAGTAGAAGAATAGAATAGAGTAGAAGAAGAATAGAATAGAATAGAATAGAATAGAATAGAATAGAATAGAATAGAATAGAATAGAAATAGAATAGAATAGAATAGAATAGAATAGAATAGAATAGAATAACAGAGTTGGAAGGGACCTTGGAGGTCTTCTAGTCCAACCCATTGCTTAGGCAGGAAACCCTACACCAATAGTTATCCAACATCTTCTTAAAAACTTCCAGTGTTGGAGCATTCACAACTTCTGGAGGCAAGTTGTTCCACTGATTAATTATTCTAACTGTCAGGAAATTTCTCCTTAGTTCTAAGTTGCTTCTCTCCTTTAGTTTCCACCTATTGCCTCTTATCCTGCCCTCAATGGTTGCTAAATGAGACAGTCAGAAGGTGAGGGCAACCTTAACCCATCAGAATCCTCCTGCCACGATTTCCCACTGCTACTTACTGCATCGAAACGGTGGAGACGGCCGAGGGGATCTTGCCCATCCCTCCACTTTCCACCAACTCAATTGCTTGCTTCATCTCCATCTTATGATAGAAGGCAATCAACTGGGGCTCTTTGGATCTTTCCCCAGCAATCAGGCACTTCTTCACATATTTCTTGTTGAAACGGTTTAGCCTTTGCAGAAGCCATACAAACAGAGGCATGATCAGGGAGAGAGAAGAATGGAAGATAGCAAAAGCACTAGACTTGTATACTGCTTCACAGTGTTTTACAGCCCTCTCTAAACGGTTTACGGAGTCAGCCTATTGCCCCCAACAATCTGGGTCCTCATTTTACCCACCTCGGAAGGATGGAAGGCTGAGTCAACCTTGAGCCTGGTGAGATTCAGACTGCCAAATTGCTGGCAGCCGGCAGTCAGCAGAAGGAGCCTGCAGTACTGCACTCTAACCACTGCACCACCGAGGCTCTTCGTAAATGGAGGATTGGTCCCAATGCTTTGTCTTATAAAAGATGTGATATCCAAAGGCAGCAATCAAATACTACAACAGATAGTCCTTGAATAATGTCCACAATTGAGCACCAACTTTCCATTGCTAAGCGAGACAGTGGTTAAGTGAGTTTTACCTCATTTTACGACTTTCTCGCCACAGTTGTTAAGGGAATCAGTGCCGTTCTTAAGTTAGTAACATGGGTGTTAAGTGAATCTTGGCTTCCCCACTGATTTTGCTCATCAGAAAGTGGCAAAAAGTCACCCCAAGACCCTGCAAATGTCATAAATACATGTGTCTGAATTTTGATCACATGACCCCAGGCAGTGGTAAAATCCAATTTTTTTTTACTACCAGTTCTGTGGGTGTGGCTTGGTGGGCATGGCAGAAGAAGAATACTGCAAAATCTCCATTCCCACCCCACTCCAGGGGAAGGATATTGCAAAGTCTCCATTCCCACCCCACTCCAGGGGAAGGATATTGCAAAATCCCCATTCCCACCCCACTCTGGAGCCAGCCAGAAGTTGTATTTGCCGGTTCTCCGAACTGCTCAAAATTTCCGCTACCGGTTCTCCAGAACCTGTCAGAACCTGCTGGATTTCACCCCTGCCTCAGGGATGCTGCAATGGTCTAAAAAGTGTAAAAAAAACCATCACTTTTTTCAGGGTCTTTGTCACTTCAAACTGTCATTAAATGAATGGTTGTAGATCAAAGACTACCTGTAGTCCAGGTTGCTGTATTTATTTGCTTGTGTTTACTTAGAAGCAAGACAAAATAATAATAGGCTAGATGTCCCCTCCCCCCTTTTTTAAAAAAACCACATAATTGTTTTACAGGATCAATTAAAAATGGTTTCCATTGTTACGTGAAGTGATTTTTTCCCAAAAAGTAGACATTTTGCTCAGTTGTTAAGTCATGTCTGATTCTTTGTGACCCCACGGGCCATAGCACACCAGGCCTGCAAAACTAGATATGATCGGTACGAATTTTCAAAACAATTAACTAAGAACTGACTTGAGTAAGCAAACATGTACAAATTGAATAAGTATTTCAACAACTATTGACTTTATTTGTTTCTTCTGCTATGGTGACACTTACTTGTCCTTCCAGTGATGATGCCCATAGTGGCCGCATATATCCTCAATCCCCGTCAAGAGATGATCCAGAAACTATTTCAAAAGGAAGAAAGCTGAATTTATTGTTCATTTACTGAACACTGACTTCTCTCGAGAAGAATGATGCCTTCCAATTGCAAGTGTGAAAAGGACTGGGAATACCATGAATTATGAGGAAAACCCCGTAAATTCTGGACCTTCAAATTCCTGGGAGTCCACCTTAGTGAAGATCTCACCTGGAAAAATAACACAATCCAGGTGGCCAGGAAGGCCCAACGAAGACTCCACTTCCTCAGGGTCTTGCGGAAGAACAAGGTGGAACAACAACTAATGACCTCCTTTTAACGGTAAAGGTAAAGGTTTCCCTCGCACCTATGTGCTAGTCATTCCCGACTCTAGGGGGCGGTGCTCATCTCCGTTTCAAAGCCGAAGAGCCAGCGCTGTCCGAAGACGTCTCCATGGTCATGTGGCTGGCATGACTAAACGCCAAAGGCACACGGAACGCTGTTACCTTCCCACCAAAGGGGATCCCTATTTTCTACCTGCATTTTTTACGGGCTTTCGAACTGCTAGGTTGGCAGAAGCTGGGACAAGTAACAGGAGCTCACCCCGTTACGCTGCACTCGGGATTTGAACCGCTGAACTGCCGACCTTTCGATCGACCAGCTCAGCGTCTTAATCACTGAGCCACCACGTCCCACGACCTCCTTTTATCGGGCCACAATAGAAAGCGTCCTCACTTATTGCATTACGGTATGGTACGCTGGCTTGACAATCGCGGATAGATAGACACTACAGAAGGTGATGAGCACGGCACAAAACATTATGGGCTGCCCCCTGATACCACTAGATGAGATAGCTAGGACTCGCTGCCTTTGAAGAGTGAGGAAAATCCTCAGGGACAACTCACACCCTGGTCAGCACTTCTTTACTTTCCTATCATCCGGCAGGAGATATAGAAGCGTTGCCAGCCACACAAACAGGCTGAAAAACAGCTTTTATCTGTGGGCTGTTAGACTCCTGAATGCATCATAAGTACGTAGTATGATAGACTTGCAAGGCCGGCACAACGTGCAACAGGTTCATATTGGTGCAATATATTATAATGTAATGCTATGCACATATATGTATAGCTGTTCTGACCTAGGCTTCCCAAGAGCATGAAGCAGACTCCTTGTCCCAACAAAAATCCCTTTTTATTAAGTTATCCAGCAAAGTCTTTCAAGGGAGGATTTACAGTCACAGACCTTATCTGGCTTGGAGAGCTGCCAGGCCGATATCTTCAAAACTTGGCAAGGAGTCTCTGAGAGTCACGAACCAATTAAGCGAATGAATTGTCTCCTGCAAACTCCCCACCCCTCCCCTTTCGCTCCTCTTTATTCCCTATGGGAGGGGCCATTCACCGTCCACATGTGGCTTTACTCCTGAGTCGACCCTTGTTCCTTAGCTGTTCCCTTCTCCTGGCAGCTCTGCACATGCGCACACTGGGAACAGGCTCCAGCTGTTCTTCTGCCCCATTGATGTCCGACTCCGAAGGGTTAGGGTTAGGGTTAGGGTTAGGGTTAGGGTTAGGGTTAGGGTTAGGGTTAGAGGACCCTGGCCCCATCTCTGCCTTCAACGCAGAGCACTCATCAGAGCCTTCCCCAGACTCCAGGACTGGCCCATGTTCCTCCCCAACCTCCTCACTGTCTGAGTCTGCCACCAGCTCCGCTGGCCACTGGTGGGCCACAACAATTGAGGATTTTGTGTTCGTTAGTATGATTTACTGGGTTAAGGATTTTCTTTCTTTCACTGTGAGTTATTGAGATGTATTTGTGTTGCGGGGGAGGGGTGAACTAAGGGAGGCTCAGCCAATCTCATAGTACACATGTTGTGCATTGACAATAAAGGTTTGAAATTCAAACCACATAAAGCTTGATGACTCCCTGCAGAAAACCACATAGTTGAGGGATGGGATCTAAGTGGATAATGGACGAGAAAGAGGGCTTGGTGACATTAAGGAAAGCACAAGGAATAAACAATGGATACAGTGGATGGATGAGATCAATCAGAATACGGAACTATTCCTGGAAGAGTTCCCAGCTATAAGATCAGGATAGTCAAGAATTCCATACAGCAGTCAACAGGAGTTCAGTGCCAACTTGATGGCACCTAAATACAGGTAGTCCTCGACTTACGATCACAATTGAGCCCTATTGCTAAGCAAGGCAGTTGTTGTGTGAGTTTTGCCACATGTTATGAATTTTCTTGCGACAATTGTTAAGTGAAGCACTGCTTCACTTAACAATTTAAGTGGTTAAGCTAGTTACGCGGTTGTTAAGTGAATCTGGCTTCCCCACTGACTTTGCTGGTTGGAAAGGGGATCACATTACCCAGGGACACTGCAACCGTCATAAATACATGCCAGTTGCCAAGCATCCAAATTTTGATCGTGTGACCATGGGGATGGTGCAATGGATTTAAGTGTAAAAAAAAACGGTCGTAAGTCAGTTTTTTTCAGTGCTGTTGTAACTTTGAATAGCAATTGCACTTAAGACTTATATACTGCTTCACAGTGCTTTACAGCTCTCTCTAAGCAGTTTTACAGAGTCAGCCTATTGCCCCCAACAATATGGGTCCTCATTTTACTGATCTCGGAAGGATGGGAGGCTGAGTCAACCCTGAGCTGGTGAACTTCGAATTGCCAAATTGCTGGCAGCCGGCAGTCAGCAGATGAAGCCTGCAGTACTTCATTCTAACCACTGCACCACCATGGTCATTAAACAAAAAAGGCTGTAAGTCAAACCTTGTCTCTCCAATAGAAGCCTATCTTCGCAATGTAACTTCCTTGACCAGCCCTCAAAATACAAAGCTTCCTCCAGTAGGGTTCATTAATTTGCTATGATTATATTTTGCTATCTCCTGGAAGTCCTTTTGATGGGGAACTAACAACCAGGGGGCACAACTTTCCTCTACTCTATCCAGTAAGACGACTATCTTGAGGGCACCAGGTTGGGAAAGGCTGAATTAAGAGCACAAGACATTTCATTTAAGTTGCGCTGCCAAGGTTCTGCCATAGGTGGCGGTACAGTCCTTGCTTTAATTATTAAATCACGCAGGTACCTTAGTCCTCCACTTCAGATTGTTCCTTTAACAATGACTCAAAGTTACGACAGCCTCGGGAAAAGTGGCTTACGACCAGTCCTTGAAGTCACAACCATCACGCAACCCCCACGGTCACATGATTGAAATTCAAGCACGTGGCAACCAGCTCGCATTTACAGCAATTATAGCATCTTGCCTTTAGTGCAGTGTTTCTCAACCTTGGCCGCTGGACGATGTGTGGACTTCAACTCCCAGAATTCCCTAGCCAGAATGGTTTAGTGGTTTAAATCTGGCAAGTAGTCCATTAGGGAAGCTGGATTTGCTTAACAACCATGTGATTCCCTTAAAAGACTGCGGTGATTCGCTTAATGTCCACAGTAAAAATGATGGCAAAATTGCAATTGTGGTCGTAAGTTGAGTACTATCTATTAAAAAAAATCTTTGAAAGGTTGAATATTGTAAAAGGCAATGTAGAAAACAATAAAAACATTTTTAAAATATTTAAAAATACATTTTACAGATGGGAAGAATATCAACACAACTGGTGGCAGTGGCATTCACACATACACACCACAAAGATGCTTTACAGCAGCTAGAAAGGCATCACCTGAGTGTGAATTTCCTCGTTAATGGACCTCTTGGTCTCCTGCTTTTTTTTCACCGCCAGAAGATCCACCAGAGGGCGGATGGTCATACCCTGCAGATAGACAAGCCAGGTTAAATTCCATCAGCCATACCCAGGGGTGGGCTTCAAAAATTTTAGCAAGGGTTGCTGGGTGGGCGTGGCCATGGTGGCCGTGGCCTAGTCAGCCTTCTGCACCATGATGGGGTTTTTGCCCTCCCGGGGCTCCAGAGGCTTTGCTTGAGCCTCCAGGAGGGCAAAAACAGCCTCCCCAGGCTCTGGAGGCCCTCTGGAGGCCGGAAACGGGCCCATTTCTGGCCTTCCCGAACTCCCAGTAGGCCCATTTTTCACCCTCCCCGAGCCTCCATGCACGCCCTACACTTACCTGCATACAAAACGGGCCACATGGGGACTCCTGGGAGGGGAGGGGAGGGGAGGGTGGGGCCAGCCAGGAATGGGATTTGGGGATTCTCCGAACTATACAGAATCTTAGCTAGAGGTTCTCCCAAATCCCTGCAAACTCCTAGCAGCCCACCCCTGGCCATACCCAAAGTCAGTTCATTTTTCATTTTCCATCAGAAATGCTCTTCCCAAACACTTTGCTAGCCCCACCTCTGGAGCAGTGGCTGAGCTTGAAAGATTATCTCCCCTGTTTTCTCTGATTCCAGGAGGTCTCCAAACTTGGCAATTTTTCCTTCCATTCCCCACCATCCATTCAGACGGCATTTTGGATGCCAGGTAAGTACAGGGCTCACGTGGAGGCTCTGGGAGGGTGAAAAATGGGCCTTCCGGAAGTCCGGAAATGGGCTGTGTTTGCTTGCCCCAGGCTCCAGGAAAGCCTCTGGAGCCTGGGGAGGGTGAAAAACGGGCCTATAGGGCCTACCAGAAGTCCAGAAATGGGCCATTTCTGGCCTCTGGAGGCTTCAGGGAGGCCTGCTAGGCCCAAAACGGGGCACAGGAGAGGGGCACGCGCATGTGCAGGGGGCGGGGCATCGCAGGGTGGGGCGCGCGGAGGGCATTGCATTATGGGTGTGAGCATGCACACACACGACCCCCCCCCCATGCTCCCCCAGCTTTTGGCACACGATGGCAAAAAGGTTTGCCATCACTGGCCTATATGTTTAATAAATAAAGGCATACACTTTCGTGAGCTCACTTCAACAATGTGTGTAAGTAGCTTGACTGATCTAGGATTTATATACTTGGGATGAGATGAGGATTGGTTAGGGTTAATTAACAGGACACCAGCAATCTCTCACATATATAATCTGCATAATCATCCTGTCTTTCATTCCGTCTTCTCGCAAACTCACCCCAATTTAAATCAGCCCAATCGCTCTATGCAGCTGATGGCTCAGCTCATGGAATCTTATGCCTTTCTGTAAAACCTGTCAATCAGAAAAGGTGCTACCAGACTCGCCTGGATTTTTAATAAACGAAGATGTAGGAGAAGGGGAGAAAGGGCATATTTTATTTCTTTGGGAGGGACACTCACAAATCCAGATGGGAGGTTTTAGACTGGATTGTGAAGGATGTCAGGAGGGATGGCGAACGGGGATGGGCTACACAGATCTACCTGCACAAAGACTGTGAAGAATATCACTGTGATGATCGCTGTGAGAAACATGTCTCGCATTGGGAAATGCTGATGTTCCAGGAGGTAGCCAAGAGAGAAGGCGATGGCCCCTCGCAAGCCACCATAGGCAATGATGAACTGATCCTTCGGGCTCAACTTCACAATGCGAAATTTGTTGATGAACCATGTCAACCCCAACACACCTGAACAGAGTTTGAAAAGACAGAGAGGCACAGATTACCTAATGGCACTTTTGACATATACAGAGCTCTTGCTTTTTGTTTTTTCAGGGTTTCAAATCACAAGGTTCGCACAGCGCATTTACACTGATCGGGTAGACGGTTAGTGGGCCCCACACACACATACACACATAGCATGCGAAACCTAACATTTGTTTGTTTATTAAATTTATTTGCCACCTATCTTGTCGAGGGCTGCCCTCATACTCTAATAGCAATAGCACTTAGACTTATATACCACTTTACAGTGCTTTTACAGCCCTCTCTTAAGTGGTTTACAGAGTCAGCCTATTGCCCCCAACAATCTGGGTCCTCATTTTACCCACCTCGGAAGGATGGAAGGCTGAGTCAACCTTGAGCCTGGTGAGATTCGATCTGCCAAATTGCAGGCAGCCAGCAGCCAGCAGGAGTAGCCTGCAGTACTGCATTCTAACCACTGCGCCACCGCGGCTTATATAACATAATAGCATGTTATACAAATCCAGCTTGTTTTCTAAGCATCTCTCTGGGTCAGAGAAACACCCCGCTGCATATGATGGCCCCCTACATCCTAACGGGAGCAATGGCCCAGAAATTTAGGTAACAATAACATGTTCTCCCTCTGTCCATTTTTATGCATGGACACTTCCTGTAAAAGCTTGCAGGAGAGTTTGCCAGTGGCAGGTATGTATTTATTTAATTTATTATGTGAGTCAGTACACGCAGTGACTCCAGGCTACTTACAACATCAAAATGTCACAGTGTAAAAACCCAGGAACCCTCCACCCACCTCAGCAGTGATGATCACACACTCATGCCCGCCACCTGATTAGTTCTGTATCAACCAGGGGAACTTTTGTCAACCACTGACAAAACCGCATCTTCCAGAAAAGTAACAAGGTAAAGGTAAAGGTTCCCCTCACACATATGTGCTAGTTGTTCCCGACTCTAGGGGGCGGTGCTCATCTCCATTTTAAAGCTGAAGAGCCAGCGCTGTCCGAAGACGTCTCCGTGGTCATGTGGCCAGCATGACTAAATGCCAAAGGCGCACGGAATGCTTTTACCTTCCCACCAAAGATGGTCCCTATTTTTCTACTTGCATTTTTTTATGTGCTTTCAAACTGCTAGGTTGGGAGACGCTGGGACAAGTAATGGGAGCTCACCCCGTCACGCGGCACTAGGGATTCGAACCGCTGAACTGCCAACCTTTCGATCGACAAGCTCAGCGTCTTAGCCACTGAGCCACCACTCAGGAACAAGGTGGGGGCCAATCTTATCTTTCAGGGAATGATATTCCCCAGAGAGGGAATATCCACCATGCCACCATGGAGAAAACCCTTTACCTTCATCCCACAAGATGTACCTCCTAATAGATAGGGACCCACGATAGACCTCGCCTTCACATTCTAGTGAGCTGGGAAGATGCTTAACTAAGGAGATGTGAGTCTTCAAATAACCTGGTCCCCAAGCCATGTAAATGAAAAACTTTCATTTATCACCCCTGCCCTATTTCCAATGTGAGCAACAGGTCCAGACCTAAAACCCTGGCAATCAAGCAGAAAATCAGGGTGCAAATGACGAAGGCCCAGTTCCAGTGGTGCTTCCCAGCCACGGTGGAGACACCAAGGAAGATGAAGATAAGGGTCTCACTGACGCTGCTCCACATCTTCAGGAAATATTTGATGGTTGTGTGGGACTTGTGGGAGATATTGGCCTCCACATAAGGACGCATCACCACCCCTGCAGCAATCAGCCTGCAAGAAAGAGAGAAATGGGCTGTGGAAGACTGAAGAGAGCACCAACATCCCTGGTCTTGCTGAGAAGATGGTCCATTCCACCAGATGATCACGCTTGGAAGGAAGAGATGGAGAGAGGAATGCTTGGAGAAGCGATCCACATCACTCAAAATGAGCCTTAATATAAAATCTTGTGTTAAGCGTTCATATTTGGTTGTTCCTGGCAATCAGGAACTGCCTACGTGTGAGTAAGTGGGAGACATTTTTCCTCTCTTAACCCCTACGCAAGACTAAAATATGCTCTTGGAGGAAGTGGCCTTCCCATGGCTTCACACCCAGCCTAGACACCCATATGTTCCTTTAGCTTAGAACTTAAAAGGCGACGTTTAATCTTTTCAAACAATTTAATGTATTCTTCACTTGTTCCTTATCTAAGGATATAATTCCTGGACCATGTTTAAATTGTGTGTTTATTCATTTGTATTTTAGTCCTTTATCTTTTTGCTTGTTGAGAGAGAGAGAAAGAAAGAGGGACAGAGGGAGGGAGGGAGGAAGACTCAGGGGTTGTGATAAAAACTGTACAGTAATAAGGAAGGGAGGGAGGGAGGGAGAGAGGGAAAAGGAAGGAAGGAAGGAAGGAAGGAAGGAAGGAAGGAAGGAAGGAAGGAAGGAAGGAAGGAAAAGAAAGACTCGGGGTTTGATAAAAGCTGTAGTTCTGTAATAAGGATGTGAGAGAGGGAGGGTGGAGGAAAGGAAGGAAGGAAGGAAGGAAGGAAGGAAGGAAGACTCAGGGGTTGTGATAAAAGCTGTAGTTCAGTAATAAGGATGTGAGAAAGGAAGGGAAGGGAAGGGAAGGGAGGAAGGAAGGAAGGAAGGAAGGAAAGAAGAAGGAAGGAAGGAAAGAAGGAAGGAAGAAGGAAGGAAGACTCGGGGTTGTGATAAAAGCTGTAGTTCTGTAATAAGGATGTGAGGAAGGAAGGAAGGAAGGAAGGAAGGAAGGAAGGAAAAAGGAAGGAAGGAAGGAAGGAAGGAAGGAAGGAAGGAAGAAAGACTCAGGGATTGTGGTAAAAACTGTAGTTCAGTAATAAGGATGGGAGGGAGGGAAGGAGGGAGGGAGGGAGGAAGGAAGGAAGGAAGAGGAAGGAAGGAAGGAAGGAAGGAAGGAAGGAAGGAAGGAAGGAAGGACGATAGACTCAGGGGGTTGTGGTAAAAACTGTAATTCAGTAATAAGGATGTGAGAGAGAGAGAGAGAGATATATTTATCTTCCCATTCACCTCTGCCAGTTGTCTGCGGGGGGCGGCGGGGGGGAGAGGCAGGAAGAGGTGAACTAGAAACCTGTTGCCCCCACCCCCTCCTAGCAATTTCTCCCCATTTCTTTACCCAGCTAATCAGGGTGAGTCAAGATTATAGCTCAGCAGTAGATCTACAATGACTCATCTACATTCCTAAGGGAAGCGCATCAGTAAGACAGGGCCAAGTACCGCTGAATTCAAAAGGTTGTGTGTTCCCCACTGCGCTTTCCCAACCCAACTTCCCCACGGCCACTTCTTTTATGGCCCTGACTGAGTTGGCGCTCTTGTCTCTGCTGGTTTTATAGCGAGGGAGGTTTTCTAGTCGATTCTGCTGACAGTGTTGGCGTCGCCAGCCAGGGAGCCGGAGGATGAGTCACCCCGCAAGCTTGGCAGAAAGCTGCTGTTCTGTCAGCCTCCAAGAGAATTGGGGGACAAAATGGAGGACGGGCAACATGCTTCGTTGGAGCCCCCGAGAGCAACTAAAAACAATGTCCTTTTTCTGGCAGTCAGGCGGGAGAAGAAAAGCTTCAGTTACAATGGCACTGAAAATAGGGACTTGTGACCAGATCTCTCACTTATGACCCTCACGGTATTCCCCATGGTCACTGATCAAAATTTGAATGCTTGGCAACTAATATGTATTTACGACGGTTGTAAAGTCCCACTTCCGATTCTCCCAGCCGCCTTTCAACATGCAAAGTCAATTGGGGAAGTCGGATTTACTTAAATTTACAAAGTCAATTGGGGAAGTCAGATTTACTTGTTTACCAACAGAAATTCTGGCCTCAATTATGGTCATAAGTTGGGGACTATTTCAGAGGCCTTCAAACTTGGTAGCTTTAAGACCTGTGGACTTCAACTCCCAAAATTTTTCAGCCAGCTATGCAATAGCAATAGCACTTAGACTTATATACCGCTTCACAGTGCTTTTACAGCCCTCTCTAAGCGGATTACAGAATCAGCATATTGCCCCCAACAAACTGGGTCCTCATTTTACCAACCTTGGAAGGAAGGAAGGCTGAGTCAACCTTGAGCTGGCCAGGATCGAACTGCTAACAGCCAGCAGAATTAGCCTGCAATACTGCATTCTAACCACTGCTCCACCACGCAAAAACTGCCTTTTGCAATTGACTGACCCTGATTCGTCAATGCCGATGATTTTTAAGTGGTGCTCCAAATGTTTGGGATTGATGGGCCCAAGATGCCTATTCCTATTGGCTTTCTTTTGCCATAGTTGTTCTACTTCCGTTTGAAGGTCTTTTTATTTTGTGATTATCATTATTTACATATTGTATTTTACTTACAGTTTAGATTTTCACATTTTTGCAAATTCAGATGTTATCACATTTTATGTAATTTTAGAGAGTATTTTATAACCTGGACATAGATTGCTTCTTTTGGACCTCACATATGGATTCCAGTCAGGTTATTTTACTGTTTAATTTTATCTTAAATTTTATTTACTATTTATTAAGATAGTTTTATAACTGACTGATTGTCTAGGTGACTTCGAGCCAGTTTCTCTCTCTTTCTCTTTCTCACTTCAACCTATCATAGCAATAGCACTTAGATTTATATACCGCTTCATAGTGCTTTTACAGCCCTCTCTAAGCGGTTTACAGAGCCAGCCTATTGCCCCCAACAATCTGGGTCCTCATTTTACCCACCTCGGAAGGATGGAAGGCTGAGTCAACCTTGAGCCTGATGAGATTAGAACTGCTGAACTGCAGCTAGCAGTCAGCTGAAGTAGCCTGCAATACTGCACTCTAACCACTGCGCCACCTTGGCTGTTGAAGGAGAGAGGGCACGAATGCAAATGAGTTCTTGGAGGAAAGAGAGGCTGCAATTCTAACAAATCATTTAATAAATAAATACCTTAAAATAAGTCAGCTGCCTATGATCTAAAGCAGGGTGCTCCAAAATTGGTAACTTTAAGACTTGTGGCTGGCTAGGGAATTCTGGGAGTTGGAAGTCCACATGTCTTAAAGTTGCCAAGTTTGGAGAGCCCTGTTCTAAAGGTTTTGATCTAAAGTCAACCTCAACTCCTAGGAACTTCATGGACATAGCAACAATACAAAAATGGTTTGCAGGATGTTTTGTTTTCTCAAATTTGGAGTCTAGCCTACAGCCCTGGTGTGTCCTTGTGGTCTTCCACCCAAATACTAAACAGGCTGAGCTCTACATATTTTTGAGAGATCACTAGATGCTACCACGAATGTCCATGAACTCATCGTAGTTCAATTTCTACAGTAAGGTAAAGGTAAAGGTTCCCCTCGCACATATGTGATAGTCGTTCCCAACTCTAGAGGGCGGTGCTCATCTCCATTTCAAAGCTGAAGAGCCAACGCTGTCTAAAGACGTCTCTGTGGCCATGTGGCCGGCATGACTAAATGCCAAAGGCGCACGGAACGCTCTTACCTTCCAACCAAAGGTGGTCCCTATTTTTCTACTTGCATTTTTTACGGGCTTTCGAACTGCTTGGTTGGCAGAAGCTGGGACAAGTAACGGGAGCTCACCCCATTATGCGGCACTTGGGATTCGAACTGCTGAACTGCCGACCTTTTGATCGACAAGCTCAGCGTTTTAGCCACTGAACCACCACATCCCTTTTAATTTCTACAGTAGGGGCAGGCAATCCAGTTTCCTTTCAGATGAATGGACTACAACTCCTACAGTCCCTTCCAAACTCCTCTGCTAATGGGGGGCTGATGAGAGCTCCAATCCAAAATGCCTGAAGAACACCACTTGCCCCCATCCAAGTCTAATACTTACGCCATGATGCCTGACAGGTGGAAGACTTCTGCAGACAGATATGCCATGTAACTGTACAGAAAGACGAAAAGAGGTTCGATGACCCGGATGTGGGAGGTGAAGCGGGAGGTGAAGGCTCCGATGATGCCGTAGACAACCCCGACAAAGATGCCCCCCAGGGCTACCACAAAGAAGCTCAGGAAGCCCAGGACGATGTCCGTGAGGGTGACTTTCTCAAAGGTGGCAAACTCTTCGAAAAGGTGGTAGAGAACCTGGGCAGACACAAAGGAGGGAGAGAAAAGCCATCTCAGCCCACCTAGGCAATGATCAGAGGTTGCCAATAGGTGTGCCAACACAAAAAGGGAATTATTATCCCATAAAAGGAAGGAGAAAGAATGGTGCGGTGGCCTAGAGGTGGAGCTCTCGCCTCACAATCAGGAGGCGGTGAGTTCGATCCTAGGTAGTGGCAGATTATTTCTCTCTCTGGGTACATTGAGAATATATCTGCTAAATTCACTATCCACATTTAAAATTTAAGTATCCAATTCCGCTGTTTAGCCACTGTTTCCATGCCGGGGTAACTTTAAAGTTTTCCATTTTTTTTCCTTTATTATCTGTGAGTTGGCCAGTCACTCACCCGGTACCAAAGCTCTGCTCAAATCTTCGCTCCTGCACAATTCTTATTCCGGATGCCCCAGCTTCATGGTGGTTCGCAATGTCCGCCACCCCCGCCGTCGGATCGAAGAGTTTTCTCTAGTTTTTCGAGGACCTTGCCTGTTCCTCTTTAGCCAACTGAGGTACCTCTCCTTCTTCACTGTCCCTACAGGACAGTTCCATTTCAAAGACCCCCCCGACAGTTCGTCTGGCTGAGTTTTCGCCAGGCTCGTTAGAGCCTGGCGTTTTCCCAACCAGTCTCACCGTGATGCTTCTGAGTTCCCGGAATACTTTTGGATACTTACATTTTAAACGTGGATATTGAATTTGGAGAGACTAAATTGACTATAAGAAAAGAAACCCAAAGGAAAATACCTTTGGAATAGGATAGGATATAAACTGTTTAGAAAATTTTGAACTTTAAAAGGAGAATATATCTGCTGAATATAACTCTGCATTGGTGTCAGGAAGGGCACCCGGCCAGTAAACACTCAGCTCCGTTCAGTTGCCCAGACTCCACCCCATAAGGGATTATGGGGTTGTTAAAAGGAGATGAAAGGGAAGGAGGAAAGTTGGATCAAAGGGGAACATTGGTTTTTTTTTTTAAAAAAAAAACTGCAGCATTTGTCCTGCTGAGTACGAACTGATCATAATTGCTCTCTGAGGATCAGCGCAGCAAACCATGTGCCAAGCTGGCTTCCTTGGCTAGAACAACAAAACCCTCAATGCAGAGAAGGACCAGGAAAATGGCGGGAACATCATCTCCCTACCATTTAGGATCGGTCTTTTCAGTCCAACTACCCAGGTAATCCTTGACTTACGACCAAACACACTTGAGCCCAACATTTCTGTTGCTAAGGGAGACATTTGTGAAGTGAGCTTTGTCCCACTTTACAATCTTTCTTGCCACAGTTGTTAAGTGAATCGTCACAGTTGTCACGTTAGTAACGTTGTTGTTCAATGAATCTGGCTTCTCCCTTGACTTTGCTTGTCAAAGGTCACAAAAGGTCATTACAACCATCATAAATATGGACCAGTTGCCAAGCACCTGAGTTTTGATAATGTGACTATGAAGATGCTGCAATGGTCGTAAGGGTGGGAAGTGGTCATAAGTCACTTTTTCAGTGCAGTTGTAACTTTGAACGGTCAGTGAACAAACTGTTGTAAGTTAAGGACTATCCAGTACAGTTAAGGAAGCCAGCAAGAATCAGTTCTGCACAATTTCTTTCCTTCTCTCATATACTGGCTTCCACATTGTGATCTGAGCTGAGTTCGGTTGCATTTCAAATGGAGATATGGGTTTTAATACAGATATACTTCAATTGTAAATCAAGATCATCATCTTCATTTAACGACCCCATAATCCCTTGCGGGGTGGAGTCTGGACAACTGAATGGAGCTAGCAGAGTGTTTTAATGGCCAGATGCCCTTCCTGTCGCCAATGCGGAGTTTTGTTCAGCAGATACATTCTTAGTTTGTTTTTGTTTGTTTTTGTTTTTATTAAATTTATATACCGCCCTACTCCCAAAGGACTCAGGGTGGTGAACAGGCACAAAATAAAATACATAGATACAAAAGTTAGAAACATAATTAAAACCAGATTAAATAATTTAGCCCGAGACAAGTAAAAATCCCAATAATTTAAAACAGATTAAAATTTCGATTTAAAAGACTTTTAAAACAGGGGAGAAAATTAGGCCAGGCGGGCTTGCTGGAATAGGAGGGTCTTAAGAGCACGGCGGAAAGTGCACAGATCCGGGATCCTCCGTATCTCTGGGAGGAGCTTGTTCCAGATAGTGGGTGCCCCCACAGAGAAGGCCCTCCCCCTGGGGGCCGCCAGTCGACATTGTTTGGCTGACGGCACCCGGAGGAGCCCCTCTCTATGAGAGCGTACTGGCCGGTGGGAGGCTGTTTGTGGTAGTAGGAGGTCCCGTAAATAATCAGGTCCTAAGCCATGGAGCGCTCTAAAGGTGGTGACCAAAACCTTGAAGTGCACCCGGAAGACCACCGGGAGCCAGTGCAGCTCTCGCAGGAGAGGTGTCACACGGGAGCGCCATGTTGCTCCCATAACCACCCGCGTGGCCGCACTCTGCGCCAGTTGGAGCCTCCGGGTGCTCCTCAAGGGGAGCCCCATGTAGAGAGCGTTACAGTAGTCCAGGCGGGAAGTGACAAGGGCATGAGTGACGTATGTAGGGAGTCCCGATCCAGAAAGGGACGCAACTGGCGAATCAGGGAACCTGATGAAAAATCCTCCCGGTCACGGCCATCAAGTGCTCTTCTAAAGACAGCCGTGAATCAAGGAGGACAACCAAGTTGCGAGCCCTCTCCGTGGGGGCCAGCGATTCGCCCCCAATAGTCAGCGATGACGTCAACTGACTATATCGGGACATCGGTCTTGGAAGGGTTGAGCCTGAGCCTGTTCCTCCCCATCCAGATCCGCACGGCCTCCAGACACCGGGACATCACTTCAAGGGCATCGTTGGGGTGGTCCGGAGTGGAGATGTACAGCTGGGTGTCATCAGCGTACTGGTGGTACTTCACCCCGAAACCACGGATGATCTTGCCCAGCAGCTTTACATAAATGTTGAACAAAAGGGGCGAGAGGACCGACCCTTGTGGCACCCCACATATAAGGGGCCTCGGGGTCGACCTCTGCCCCCCTGCCAACACAGACTGCAACTGGTCGGAGAGAAAGGAGGAGAACCACCGTAATACAGTTCCCCCCACCCCTAACTCTTCCAACCGGTGCAGCATGATACCATGGTTGATGGTATCAAAAGCCACTGAGAGGTCTAATAGGACCAGGACAGAGGAGCAACCCCTGTCCCGAGCCCTCCAGAGATCATCAACCAACGCGATCAATGTGTGGCCAGAGAGAGAAATATCTGCCTTTACCTAGGATCAAACTCACAGCCTCCTGATTGTGAGGCGAGAGCTCCACCTCTAGGCCACCGCACTACTCCAATTGTAAATCAAGAGCCAGTAAATAATTTCAGAGGGTGGTTGGTAAAACCGGTCTCAAATCTCAGTTTAAACTTAAGAGCCAAACTTCGTATAGAAGAGCAGCTGATGAGGTTTTGGCATTCGTGTCTGGTTTAAACAAATGATGGTTTATTACCTGTCAGTCCTGAGATGTCTTCCCTGGTAGCCTTCTATTGAAATACAAACAAGATTCAGCCTTGTTAAGTATTTTTGAACTTAGATGCCACCATGCTGCTGGGGAATTATTATCAAGAGCTTCCAACAGAGGTGGGTTCTATTTACCTTTACTACCGGTTCACAGCGGGGCTGCGCGCATGCGCAGAAGCATTTTGATGACGTCAGGGTCAGTGGGCGGAGCCTCCCGCCGGTTTTACTACCGGTTCTATAGAACCAGTGCGAACCGGGGGCAACCTATCATTGGCTTCCAATCAGGGGTGAAATGCTCCCAGTTCGGACCGGTATCAATGGCAGCCAATGGTTTGGAGAACCTGTAGCGATGGCGGCCCGAGGCTCCACCCACCTGCCCAGTTGTTGTTACTTCCTGGTTTTAACCAGGAAATAACCTGTTTTTTACCCTCTGCGCATGCGCAGAGGGTCGAAGCGTGGCTCGTGCACTTCCGAACTGGTTGGGAAGGTAAGTAGATTTCACCCCTGCTTCCAGTACAGATCAGTTGCTCTAAATGGGTGCTTTTCTTTTCTCTTTTTCCCCTCCGCTTTGATATATAAAACAAAACTGGCTAAGAATAGAACACCGCACTAATGTTGAAATACTGTACAATTATTTTTAGCCTCCTAAATGTATTTCCAAACTTATTCAGCCACCGAGAGCAATCTTTGCTACTAAAGTTTGTACAAATGTTATTTTGTTTAGAGAGACTGGTTTGGAGTATAATCAAAAATTTGCTCCACAGTGAATTCTTTCGTTGAAATTTCAGGCACAATGGCTCTCCTGGTTTCTTCTTCCCAGTACCTATCCTGCTATCATGCCTCTTTCATTTATTTATTTATTTATTTATTTAAAAAATTATTTTTATTTCTCATAAACACATTTACATGTACAGTCATTTTCATCATTTTCCATTCATCTTTTCTTTTAACTTTCATTTTTAATTTTAACTTTTTGGGGGCTGCTCTTTTACCCCTTACCTTTACTCCAACCTTTCTTCTTCTCATCCCCTTCTCTTCCTTCCTCTCTCTTCTCCTATTTCCTTCGTTCTTCCTCTCCTTCTCTTTCCTACTTCCCCTTCTCTTCCCCCACTCCTCTTTTCTTCCCCTCTTCTAACCTTCTCCTCTACTCCTCTTTCCCCTCCCTTTTCTTCCTCTTTTACCTTTCTTCTTTCTCCTCTCCTCTCCTCTCTTCTCCCTTCCTCTCTCTCTACTCCTTCCTCCTCTCCTGTTGTTTCCCTTTTCAGTTCAATCTAAAGTGGTATTTGAGCAGCCCCGATTTTCTAATTATCTTTATTCTCATTTCAATTTGTTATTCAATTATTATTTATTTTTATTTCATCATTTGCGTACATTTTTATAATATCTCACTTTTTTCCCTTTAACCCCCCCCCTTCCCCTTTCTCCTTTTACTTGACATCATCTGGGTATCTATTTTTCTCATTCCGCCTCTTTCATTTAAAATGGCTTT